TCCCTTCCGAATAGTGCGAATAAAAACATGCTTAAATGTTAATAGGAATATAACAATAAATTTTTCTACAGATAAACTATAAAATAACTGAAAAGCAGACACTTCTAATAAAATAAATGCATGCAGTTTTATTGAAAATGAAAAAAATTCTGTACCTCACGAGCATTTTTGTGTTCCTCTGTTATGTTTCCCACTGGTAACCAATTAAATCCATTTATGATTGTACTTAAACATTTACAACAGAGGGAGAGTCAGAAAAATTATGATTTTCGTTAAGTAATAATTTATTTTTCAAATGTTAGAATTCAATTTTTATTATTTTTTGAAATAAAAATAGAAATATCCAAAATGAGGAAAATACAATAATAAAAAAGTGTTTTTTTCATCATAAAAACAGCGATATTTAATCGTTTTATGGCTTTTATAATAACCATAAAACGGGATAATCTTTACTATTATAATACCAAAAATAATTTATAAAAAGGAATATAACGCAGAAAAAAAATCGTAAATATAATAGCTTATGCTAAATACGTATTGTGTTGAGATTAAGTTAAATCCGGAAGACGTGTTAAGGATAAAAATGATTAATGTTACATTTGGCAATAAAAGTTAGATGATTAAGGCAATAAATAAAAGTTTTTAAAATTCTCAAAATTTTATATAAATGTTTCAGATTTAACGACAATTCACATATTAGTTGACTTTATATAAAACGTGTTCTCTAGCGAACATTTTTCTTGGTTAAATCTCGTAAACACTTATACATACTATAGTATAATATAATGTACAGTACATTTAGCTATACATCTTTCATATCGTTTGAATAAAAAAAGAAATTGCATGCAAAATTTTAATTGATAAGTCTCTGTTTCCTGCTAATGCATTGGAAAAATAATACATAAAAATAAATAATAATAATAATGCGAAACAGTACATAATGAAAAGGGATTATAACCGAACTGTACAAATCTTCAATAATAGCTAATATAAAAAGAAAGGAAGTGCATCCTGATTTCATTATTGAACCAAAGAAAAAGGACATTAAAAATAATTTATTACGGGATAATATTTAGACACGATTTTTGAAATTAGATTATCGTGATTTAAAAGGGCAAACAAAAAATTAGACCGGATATTAATAAACTTTATATCTTTAAATTAAAATATTGTATTCAGACAGTGTAATTTGTAATATCTTGTTTTGAAAATCTCTTATTAAAAATTTATTAATTAAAAAATCGCTAATATGCCTGAAAGACATTAATTTTGAACCGAATGTTTGTAATTTATAATTCATATATATATATTTTTTCAATTTACAATAAACTATTATTTTTATTTGTACTTGATTGCCTCCTTATGTTTTAATTCGTAGAACTGAGTAAAACGTTGCTTGAGAGAACGTATCATACAGTAACACACAAATCTTCGGTCTTCTTTATTTTACATTAATCTGGTATAAAATGGATTAATGTGAAATAAAGAGAACCGGAGAGGACAGTATGTCTGAAATGCATATTCCTCTAGAGTTAATAAAAGCGTGTATATTTATCTTCTTAGTTGTTTGGTTCTCTTAAGCAACTTTCTGCTCAGTTCTACGTATTATTTACATAACTGGTTTTCTGCGTTTAAAAATGCCAGCAAAAAATTAAAATTCACATTAAGTTTCATTATATAAATATTTATTAATAAATAAATAGTATAGTTTTAGTTTTGCTGTTAAACAGATGTATAATTTACCAAATCTTTTATCACATATTATTTTTCATTTCCCTCTATGGACACCAAGAGCGTTTTTTTTTTTTTTTTTCTATACTTATCGTGGGTTCTGCCGGGTGCTATGGGACGGGTCAACATATCCATGAATAATTCCTTGGGTTGCTCGCACGGATTCGATTCCGGATTTCTTAGAGTCTTAATGGTATATAATGGAGAAATATGAACGTCAATAATACAACTTTAAATTAATTTGTAGTATAAGTAGTGTAAATGAATCGTATGGTGATGATGTAACCAGTAGTGATTATTTGAATATTGATTTATTCGGTTATTGCAATCGAAAAATTAAAAATCTGCATTCAAAATTTTGATATAAATCTAAATAAATATTATTCAATAAAATTATTTTTGTGTAGTTGTTTATTTTAAATTAGAAATTTTTTATTGTTTTTTTTATTAGCGTATACGCTAATAAAAAAACAATAAAAGAAAAGAGTTTAAAAAATGAGATTTCTAAAGCTCTGTTTCTCTGTATTTGGAAAAATTGTTCAACAATACTCACACTTTATAAATATTAGGTATTAAATTAATAAATTTAATGAAAACATTAGCTGTACCGTAAAATTAGTTTAATCTACTAATTTTCTAATTAGTTATTCAGCTTGCATATTCTGTTAGTTAATATAAATATTTATCTGTAAATATTTATGTTATAGTAATCTGTTTATAGTTACAATATCATATCAACTTTAACATTTACCATCTATCGTTAAGAAAAATTTTTCGTTCTATGAGAAAGGTCTATGAAAAACATAAATTAAAATTTTTATATGTTAAATATATGTAGTAAATATTTTTCGTTATTTGATGTTCAATACTTTTCTTGTAAATTTACTACCATTTTCTTCTATAGAGTCTTATTTTTACTTTCCCGGCTCTATTATGCTATATAATAGAAGTATGTCTATCGGTCAAAAAATGACCCCCAAAAATTTTTACGCTTTTGGACTAAAGCTTAGTTCACACTGAGCGCGATTCGCTGGAGAAAACGAAAAACAGAGCGAATAACCGGTCAAACATGACTCGTTTGACGGGTTATTCGCTCTGTTTTTCGCTTTCGCCAACGAATCGCGCTCAGTGTGAACTAAGCTTAAGGATCTTGAAACGTCGAGAAATGCAAAAATAAATAAATAAATAATAATAACAAATTTCCGGGGTTTTCTGTATATGTTTTGTGTGTGAAGGGTACAATTTTGTTCACCCTCTTTGAAGCTTAATTAACTCTCGTGTTTTTTGTCGAAAATTTCCGAAATTTTACAGGGATGTTTGTGTATTAAAGGAATTGATGCTATTAAATTTTGGTGGTTAAAGGTCGAGGGCGTGGAGAGATAAAAGGGGTCGTGTGTCATATCTCGGATAGGGTCGGACCTAATGAAGATTTTAGTCGTTATTAGCAATTACAGGTTTTACATATATATATATATATATATAGATATAAAAACTGTAATTGATAATAAAGTCCCTAGCCAAAATTAAGTTATTGCTGTTTCGTAATAATTAATTGTATAAAAAGTTTTTTAACATAGAATATCACAACAGATGATGCCACACGCAGTTTTAAACGTTGCTGGAAAAGTTAAGCTCGTGCTGGATTTTTTTTTTCTTTCTTATTGAATTGACTCTTTAAGATTACTTTAATAAGTTTAAGAAAGCATCTATTTTTTAAGATAAATTATCACAATAATGCAGACAGTCAATTTAAGAATATCTTTTTTCAAATATTATATTTCCAACTAATTCATTGAATGACTTCATGGTTAAGGGATAATTTACTAAAAAGCAGGGCTCGAAAACTATCTGGTTCTCGTGATTTTTTGTGATTGTTAGATTGACACATCATTGTTTTTCCCTTTCCTACATTGGCTAAAATCATTGGGAACAAACCCTTCTATATTCGTAATAGCATGTTTTGTTATTACCGGTATAGAAAGGGCGTGTTTCAAAAATAATGCTAAAAGTTGTCCAAATAGTAAAATCAAAATAATGAAGTGCCAAAATATGAAATTATGCTATTTTCCCTTCTTGAGATTTATAAGATTATCTTTAAAACTCACAACTTCGCATATCTGAAACTAAATGAAATTGTTGCTTCGACATTTTCTGCTCAAAGAGGCTTATATTAGTATATTATGTATGTAATTGAAATTTTTGCAAATTTGAATAAAATTATTACACTTGAATTATTGTTAAAGTAGAAAAGGGATTGGAAATGAAATTTTTAAAATTTCTATGCGTATAATTCAAATGCATAATTTATAAAACTATAATTTTTTTCCATAATAATACCAGTCAAAAAGTATTTTTCTTGTTGAGAGTTTTCTAGTTTATCTTTAGTAAAATCGCCCATGAAAAATTCCTGAGGTTCTCTTTCCGGATTCGATTCCTGATTAGGGTTGCCACCTGTCCGGGTTTGACCCGGAGGCTCCGGGATTGAGTGAGTTATCTCCGGGCTCTAGGGTTAATTAATATTTCTTCGGGTTGTGCAAGTTAAAATGAATATGTATGAAATTATATGCAAACCGTCGCATATATTTCTTCCCCCATGTACCGAATTACTAAGTTGGTAGTCGTTGGCATTAGGCGCAGTGCTGCTTTTTTTTTTTTTTTTTGCTTGTACGATTCATTCGTAATTATATACACCTCCAATATCCAATAGAGCTAGGTCACTTGCGTTACTCCTATCCAAGTCTCCCCCTAGTCGCTAACTGTAACTGATTTAGAACCGGCATGCACTGCCTTCGCATTGCAAAATGACATTGCGCATGCGTCAGGAACTTCTGTTCGAACGAACCTCACCTGCCCTCCGGGTCAGCGACTTTGAAAAGGTGGCAACTCTATTCCTGATCCTCAAAACCGCAGGCTGATGACTCTATGGCCGTCCAAGGGTTTAGGTCATTGGGCCTGAATCCTTAAAGTGGTCAGTCAGCTTAAGTAAGAGGTAAAGAACGACGCCTGAACACTTACTGTCCATGATAAATTAGGAAACTAATTCGAACTCGAATCCTACAGCAGTAAGTTGAAACTTTGCTGCTCCGCTATCCGACTGACATACAGTATTCAATTTGGCCGAAATAATAATCGAGTAATCCGAATATTTTTTCGAATACCGAATAGTTATCGAATAGTGGAATAATTCATTTCATTATTTAATTTATTTTTAATTTATATTTGACTTTATAAATACGATGTAAATCCATTTTACAAATAATATTTTTTAGATATTGTTGAAGACAGGGTTCAAGTTATGAATGCAGTGGATTCTTTGATGTCTGTTATAAATATACCTGACGATGTTGCATTCGTGGTTGTTCTTTATGCTATGCTTAAGGAATGCAAATTTAATATGGTAACAGCATATAACAAGATTATAGAAGGTAGGTTATATTGAAAATAAAATTTATACTGTTTGAAAAAAATATAGTTATATATTCCGTATATTCCGGCGTATAAGACGACCCCCGACTTTTACAGTTAACATATAGAGTTTGGCAGTGCCGGCCCGAGGCAAGTTTTAGGATGGAGCGAGATCCTATTATGGCGCTCGGGGGTGTAACCCCGCCCACGCACTCGACCCACGCGCGTCTCAACAGATAAGGCCATTCACATACTGACCACATGCTTGCAATTAAAATATCGAAAAGTGAAAAAAAATATTTTTTCCTTTACTTTTTTTACCACTGAGGCGCCCCCTAGGACTTAGCGCCTGGAGCGGCTGCTCCGTTCACCCTATGGTAGGGCTGGCTCTGGAGTTTGGGATATACTCGCCCTATAAGACGACCCCCGACTTTTGAGAAGATTTTTCTGGGTTAAAAAGTCGTCTTATACGCCGTCTTATATACGGTAATTTGGTAAGTTATACTTTTTACGTTTTTGTAATATTAAATGTATAGAAATGTTTAACTTATTTGATTTTCAGGATTATTATTTAGTGGATGATAAGTTTTAATGTCATTCTCAGAATATTAATGAAGAAAAAAAACCAAGGATAGTATTAAATTGGAGAAACATTGTTAAACAAACAATAATACTCTATTTGCAGTTAAAATTTTCAAAATAACAAGCAGTATTATGTTTCAAAATATTCAAATCATATATTGTGTTTGAATAATTACATATTTGAATATAGCTGTTAATAATTTTCGTCATAGGATAACATAATCCCGCATTGTTTTAAAAAATATAATTTATTTATTTTTGATAAGTGATCTTTCAGATTGTATGGTAGAAGTCATCCAGTCGCAATATAGTTTTGAAACTGGTCCAGATAATGGGTGTTCTTAGTAACTGGGCATTATTCTGTACTGTCTTCTTTGTTGATATTGACTGACCGTCTGCAAAAAGTTAGTCACAAGATTTTTTTCTGTGACAAGAGAAATACTAAGTTATTTGATAAGAGAGATAGTGTCGAGACTGAATGTCCTGAAATTTTTCGCAAGAGGATATGCTTCGATATATATTGTAGACAGTATATTTAAATATATGAAGCAAGTTGACATTTTGAGTGCATTTGAGACCATTCTTCTTTTTAAAGTCTAATCAAAATAAAAAATATTTGTTAAGTTGGGATACTATTGAACAATGCAACCAAGAAAACATTAAATGCTTCAAACTGGTACATTAATTCATTTGCATAGCTAATAAGATCGAAGAAAATTCCACAAAATTTGAATTGTTTTTAGTTTTATAAAACATAAATTCTATTAATTGAACGAATAATGCTTATTCTAATAGCTATTTAGGTAAGCTTAATTAAAATCGATATTTTAAAATTTAAAATTCTTTATAGACTGGTGCTATTCAAAATGTTGATCCACAGATAAGCCTGCGGTCTTTCAGCTTTTGTCTATAGAAAATTTCCAGAAAAGAAAAAAATGGCATGAAATAATACTATATTTTTATAAACGTATAACATCGATATTTATGTCGTACCGTTACAGTAGGGGAGACCGGGGCAAGATCGGCATGTTAAGCTTTACTTAAATTTTGTGTAATAAATACTGCTGTAAACTGAAAAAAAAGCTTTGCATATTGTCTATTGGAATGTTACCTTACTATAGAACTGGTTAAAATCAGTTTGGAAATAAAAATAATTAAAATAATTACAACTTTACAAGAAGAGAGAAATTGACGAAGTTGCCCCGGGTATAGGGGCAAGATCGGCAACTTCTCTCTTTTTGTAAAGTTGTAATTATTTTAATTATTTTTATTAAAGTTGCCCCTGGTATAGGGGCAACAGTAATGGGGCAAGATAGGCACGTATATAAAATTATGTTATTAACAATGTATAAGTTGGAATTCACTATTAAAACAAAGAAATACAAATCCAACACCCATTTAATATTATTACAACGAAATGCAAGTTCAAAGACATATATACATGAATAACAAATGCAAACATGTTTTCATTTATCATCTGTTTGATTTTTATCCTTTGCTTCTAATGTGGCTTTATGTTGCCGATCTTACCCCGCTAGTCATGATTTCGAAACATTAAGTACAACCCTGAGAACAGAATGCCAAGCCACGATCTGGCCACGTGAATAAGTTGAAGTTACATCCTTCTAACAGGAAAAGTAACTTTCGTTATCATGGAATTATAACAAAACCTGCCAATTCAATATAAATGGAAAAAAAATATTATATGGAATTGAACGAAAATGAAAATTTGCTTGATAATTCAACTACGCTTGTTGGAGAACAATAAAAACACTACACTCAACAAGCCACCAATAAAACTCAACTGCCTAACCTATAACCAAAGTCTCCTTTTAATTTGTTTTTAAAAAAAAGCGCTTGACAAACTTGCCCCGCATGCCGAAGTTGCCCCGGTCTCCCCTATATATGCATCTAAATATAAAGATGATGTTATGCGGATACCTTATCACTCGATTACAATAATGCAATAGTATAATATAAACATGATACGATCAGGAAAATTATCTCCTGTTTGCTATATCAATTAATTCGAGGAGTACTGATGCAATTTTGACGATTAACATTAGTTGCTTTAATTTATTTAAATACGTGCTCCATCTATAGTAGTTAGTTTTCACCCTTAAATCAGTTATTTAACTACGCTGAATCATCGGCTGACCTCTAGCTGCCCTACGAATTAAAATAAAATGAAATAAGAAATTTGATTGACTCGTTTGATTCACGATATAGCATGATATAGGCCTATATATTTATGAGACGAAGAAAAAAGAAAAGCATATGATCTTTGTATGATAGTAGCTCGAATCATGACATAAGTAGACTTGAAAATGCTGTTTATAAGTCTTTCGCAGTTTATTCTTGAGAGTTGAAATATATACGGTATAGCCTATATATATAGTCTGTGTGATATGCACTTTATTCACATGCTAAGTCTTAATGTCAAGTCTGCTTTTAGTATTCTTATGCCACATCTTTTAAAAGTTTCCTTTATTTAGGTATTTTCGCTGAGCTTCATTTTTCAACCTAGTTCCACCAGATTTTTTATGAGATCAAAGATTTTTCGGTCATCAATAACCTCATAATAGAATAGCTTTCATGGTAATTCTATATTCACCTAACAGTTGCGTGATAACTTGCATTAAATCATGTCACCTGACCTGAGTAATATGTTAAAATTTAAAAAATGGGCTAGTTTGTAAATACTAAATATTTCAAAATGAAACTTTGAAAAGAGAAAATAGGTGATGGTCAGCTCTGGAACAAGCTATTAAACATATGCAGACATTTCCTAGATTGTTCCATAGCTAGGTATCGCCATATTCTCTCGTATAAGGGACAAAATTCTGATTGCATAAGTCTAAAATTATTCAACGAATTTATTCAAAATTTAAGACGACCGTAGTACACATTAAACACATTGCGAAAATTAAATATCTAAAATTTCATCCAAATCGTTTCATTGGTCGTGGAGATATTCAGGGTCAAAATTGGCACTTTAACATTTCACGTTTGAGCTGAGCTTCATTACAAGACGCTACTACGCTATATGTAATATATATATGAATATATGATAGAAAAGTTATGCCTGTCACGAATAATTTATATAATTGATAAATTGATAGAACGTCCTTTAATTAAAATAAAGTATTATTTTGTTTACTTCTATTCATTTTCTAATGTGAAAGTGTTCAATGTTGGAATTTTTCCAAAGTTTTCATTAAAGGTCTTTCTATCAATTTATCAATTATTCGTGATATGCATAACTTATCTATATATAGATATATTCCCCCTCCTGTTTTTCAATCGAGAATAAGGCGACAACGCCTTATTGAAACAGCAAACATTGAAATTGCAAATTTCATAACCTTTTACTATTTAGCTATGTTATGATTATTTCGACTGATATTGATATTTCCTATTTTATTGGGATTCCAGCTATATTCCAATTAGAAAATTAATCGGAATTTCGTAGTCCTGCGTCTTCAGGTGTATAGGAACCCTATCGGTAATTCAACGATCCAAAACTACAGTTTAATTTTGTTTATTTTGTTTGATTACATACATCTAATCAAAAAATATAATAAATTGAATTACCGGTAGATGCAAGATTACGGAATTCTCAAGAATTTCTAATTGATATTGATATGTTCCGACTAATATTATAATTTAGAAATATTTATTTTGTCTACTACTTTTCGGAAGAATCTGTCATTTTGTCGACATTTACAGTAACTTCTCTTGAATAGTTTTTATTTTTTCTTAAAATAAAATCCCTGCTTTAAGTAAAGGAAGTTAGAATTTTCGTTTACCAGTGTTTTCGACATTCGCGATTAATTATTATATATTATTTACGTCATTTGTTATTGGAACTTGAGATAATGACGTAATAACTATTAATAATAATATGCATACAGCACTTACGTAACAATAATTGAAGAAAATATTTCTAGTCACGTCTGATTTAGTTTACTTCATTTCTGGCTTTGTTTTCATTTAATTTATTTTCCTTTCTTTTCTTTTTAAACTTAAACTTGTTTTAACATCGTGCTTTTTAAATCTTATATATAACTTTATGATTTTTCAAAAAACCACATTTAAAGATAATTTTATTGCTAAATTGTCAAAATTTAAAATATTTAACTTCATTTTATTATAAAGCAAAAATGTTTAAGGGCAAAATTGATTTATTTAAATTTCTAAGGAGTTGTCCTTGAAATGTGGAGAAATGTGGAAGTATACGTCATAATTATGATATTAATATATTAAAAAATGCAATAAATACTAACGCCTTATTCATTTAAGTCGTTACTTAATTATATCGTAAATGTACTGTACTTTAAACACAACTTCTCGTATAACATCTGATTTTTTATCTGTCGAATCGTATCTAACTTTATATTTTAAATTATACCATGATAAAATACTTAAATAATGACATAACTTAAACAAATATTTTATTGGTTAAGTTTTGAGTCTGACACTATTTATTTTTCATTTTTGACTCTTCGCTCTGTGACGAGTCTGTAAAAGGCTTTTTCCATCACCCAAAAGCCTTGGCCAAAACCCATGACGGAAAAGGCTTTTTCCGTCATGGGTTTTGGCCAGGTCCACAATTGGACGGCTTGGTATTGAGGGTCAAGGGGCCGACATATCCGAAACAGAGCACCTAAGAAAAATCCCTGGTGTTTTCTCGGATTCGATTCTAAGCCAATAAATAATTCCGCTTCGGCCAATAAATTTAAACATAGATTTAGTGTACAAATGTCATTATTTTTTATATCTAAACATATCTATAGTATTATATATAAACTTTTTAATTAAATTTATTTGATTCTTTCAGCACAAGAAGAATTGAAAATTCTCCACGACTCGTGTTTCATTTCTCCAGTTATGTCTATCGGTCCAACTAACGTTTTCGAAAAATCTGCCAATTCGCTATATCAGTGTCATTATTACCCACCTCACTGCATATTTCGTAGTAATGCTACATTGAACAATATGAATGATAACGATAGAAATACTCGACTGATTAACACTTTTGAATATTTTACAGAAGATGGAAGAAAACTGTCTAAAATTTCACAGACTGAAGAACTTTCGGAAGATGAAAGAGAAAATGACTTACCAAAACTTTTAAGGGTAGTTACTTTACCGCCGTGAATTTTAATCTTAATGATGATTCTATATAAGTTTACATACTGTAGATGTATACAGTCACCACAACAATATATGTTTTTATTAATAGAATAATCATCAATTTATAATCTTAAAATATTTGTCTTAATGGAGTCTAAATTTGAAGAAATTGGGAAAATGAATATCTGTACGGTTATATTTAAGCGTAATGTATGCTGTTAATATCTAATTTTTAAGTAACCTAGATTATATTATTAATTAGTTACAACTCTATTCGAAGAACTGGAAATATGAAAAAAATATATAAAGATTTTACGTTTCAAGAAAACAAATTTTCATAACAATATTTGTATTTAGCGTAAAGAATATTTATTTTCATNATCTAAACTGGCTAAATAGTATTATTGATAACTATATCCAAGACCAGTTATCAAACACCCGATAGAATTTTGTGACTGGATCATTATTAAAACATGTAAGATAAAGTATAAAATACATACATATATAAATATTTTAAATCAAATTTAATAATATGTTCGAGTTTAATTAAAATTCTTTTTATTAATTTTGGTTTTAACATGTTCCATCTAATATGTCGATGGAAAAATAAATTGGAATTTTTAAAAGGACATCCGTGTTTCTTAATTTTATGCATACGTTGATCTCCAACGTATGCATAAAATTAAGAAACACGGATGTCCTTTTAAAAATTCCAATTTATTTTTCCATCGACATATTAGATGGAACATGTTAAAACCAAAATTAATAAAAAGAATTTTAATTAAACTCGAACATATTATTAAATTTGATTTAAAATATTTATATATGTATGTATTTTATACTTTATCTTACATGTTTTAATAATGATCCAGTCACAAAATTCTATCGGGTGTTTGATAACTGGTCTTGGATATAGTTATCAATAATACTATTTAGCCAGTTTAGATTGCATTTATATTATTATTATTCAAAGAAACTCGGATTCTATTCAGTTCATCAAGCATTTAAAGTGGTAATAAATACAGGGTATAGGGTGTGTTTGCTTTCATCTTGATCACGCACGTATGCCATTTTACAAAAATGCCAAATAAGTGATTAATGGCAGCTTGTTATTTGGCTAAGAAACTTGATATTTCAGTATCTTCAACTAACATCTTGAATCAGAAATCATTACTATTTTTTTGTTTTGTTTTTTTTTTACTTAAGGTCGCCATTAATTAGTATTCTCGCGTTGACTTTATACGGCCTGCAAATTACACGTCTGGTTTATGGCATTATAAAGAAAATTTAAAATAATTATATTTTCCTTCCGACAGACATTTTTATACTTATCACTTTATTAACGTTTAAAATATAAAAAGTTCTCGTTAATTATTATTATTCTTTTAATTTTTTAAAACATTGGTGTTAAAATAATTTCTCTCATACATGTTTAAATGTTTAATTCATTAACATTTTTATACCTTAATCTTATGTTTATTTTTATTACCGATCGCTATATTTTGTTTTTTGTCATTTGTTCTTATAATTTATTTACAGCGTTAAGTACTATAAATTACGTGATTAGCTGTCAAGTCGTAATTACACACGTTTAGAAATAATTTTTTTTTTTTTGCTTATGATTTAGATCTTTTAATTACTAATAAATATGCCTATTTTAATTTACAAGTGATTTTTAATTAATTGACTTTAAGGGTCATTAATTTTTTAACAAGCGTATTTCAAATTAAAGACTTTTAAAAGCCACGTAATTTTTTGTAATTATATAGACCTATATATTTTTTTCGAATTTAATTTACGTTTCACATTGACATCTTCGTTTAGAATTTAATGGTTTTATATAGGTAAACATAGTTTATATATATGAGATTTGTTCAGTTGGTTGGGATAATGGGCATTTTTCATTTAATTCGACGTCATTCCTTGGAAGTTTTCATTCAATTTGACATAAAAATATATATTATCCCAACCTATCGAACAAGCTCATTATTTCACGAAGTTTAGATTAAATTAACTGATTAAATTATTGATTAAACTTTTTTTTAGATTTAGTTATAGACTCAAAAATATTTACTTGGGAAATACTAGCTTGTGATTTTATAATCAAGTTTTAAAAAACAAAAAAACAAAAATTACAATATCTCAAGTTACAAGATTATAATTTGCATAGAGATGTGATCGAATTAGTGGATTTTGGTGAAATTATAGTATTAAAAACACCAATAGATTTGTTTATTTATTTTTTCTCGTTTGAAGTGACTTTTCTCTATAGAATATAAATGACTGGTGGAGAAAGCTTAAGTTTTTAATGTTTTAATATAGATTATTATTTAAACATCACCTCTAATTAATCAATGATTATTTATAATCATTTACATTAAATAATCATATTATATTATATAAATGTTTTCAATAATTTTTTAATGAGATTTCTGCTATCTATATATATAACCCATTCAACGGGTATCTGTCCCGTAACCGTTTGATAACGGACACTAGAGGCGCTCCTATCGTGTGTCATATTTCAAACAATTATATTAACAATTTTAATTCTTATTTAAATTAACAATATAAATTTTTATTATTCATTTGGCCAATAAATTATTATTTGGTCAATATAACAATATAAATAATTCAGTATATTTGTAATAGGAATTTATTATTTCAGGGGCTTATATCTCTCGAAGGGTCGCGAGTAGGGGTATGGTTCCTTTGACTTTATTGTTAGTACAGGGGTCTACGGTTTGGGGG